TCTCTCCTTTTTTTTTGTTTTTGGTGTACTGTATTCTCTCTATCTTAGGTATTAACAATTCGCGATGACCGGTGACGAGATTTCACGTGCTCTAATAGATCTAAGAGCTTCAGTCTTGTGTAGTAGTCTTGTGTTTTCCCTTTTCTATGAAAAACTGAGATTTGATTGGATATTAAGATAATATTCTTTCAAGGCTCTTCTTGTATGAAATAAGAGTCCCTTTAGGTTTGAGGTGTAAGGTGTAGACAGTGTTTCAAGTCAAAATTGAGCCTTCCGAGAAGCCAGTAGGCATTTTTTTACTGAAATTTCCACTTTTTTGAAATCGTTGACCACACTAGTTTCTAAGTCTACGAAGAGAAATGCTTTGAGAATGCTGTTATTCTTTAATTTCTTTACGTATACTTATTACAACCTATCCATCAGTACAAGTTCGGAATATGCATCCATTGATTGAATTTGAGGTACTCATGGAGGTTGCCTGCGTTTCGATCTTGCATACGTCTCTTTCGAAGTGAACCTAGAGGTTTCCACTTTGCATTTTTCTCCTTTGTGAGCATAAATGTGCTCTACTGCTCATGAGTGAGGCAGGAGGCATTGAGAAAGGCGCGCGCTGCGTGCGCGCTGCGGGAGTACCTATGGGAACCTGGCCGGGGTCCACACTATATACAGCATGCCCTCGATATTCCGTTTCCAGTTTCCTCGAATTTTTTTGTGGAGGTCCTTTTGCAAGGATGTAACGCAGCCTCCGTATAACAATTCCAGTAAGCACTATTTGACAGTACTGCTCTTGTAGGTTATCGTGCGTTTAAAGGCAGCTATAGACTGTCGTCCAAAAGAGATAGCAGCGTTGGTGAATGCTGGAAAAATCACGCGTTTTCAAATTCTACTCGCCGTAACTTCCTTCAGAATAAGTATAATATATTTTGAATCCGAAATCATGCTGCGCTCAGCTCATCAAGGCAGATCTTTTGGTATACAGGATGTCCTCGATATTCCGATTTCAGTATTCTCAAATCTTCCTGTGGACGTCTTTTCGTAAAGGTGTAAAGCAGCGCGCATTGCCCCTAGTAGACTCCTGCAAGGACCGTTCGATAGTACTTATTCTGCAGATTATGAAGAGCTAAAATGTAGTCACAGGCATCTTTCCAATGGAGATAGAAGGGTGGTTAATTGTAAAAAAAAAATCTTACTCGACTTTACTCGTCATAACCCTAGAAAACGAAGCTATCTTGCTAAGCAGATATGAATTTTGTAATCGGCAGGTCGGATAATCCTTATAAGCAAGTTTTCAGAGAACTTTAGGTTATTGGTTTTTTTCTCGTTTCACGCTCTGGAAGCTCGCCGATGGATTTTGGTCAAAATGTTGGTGCTCTTGAATTGTAAGGAAACTTCGCTTATGGAGGTTTTTGTACACGCTCTTTACGAAAATCGTGGTCTTTGAGGATTACATTGAGGTGTAGCCTCAGCCGGTCGTCGCTCGGTCACCAACCGGAAAAAGTATCTGAGATGAGTGGTGTGTACGTAAATTATGTAAAAAATTCCATAGGGCGATAAAATACTTGTAATAGCACTTACATCCATAGTTTTTATCCCAACTCGGTTGTAGGACTCGTGATAGGCCGAAAAAGCATTGCTGGTACTCTGAAGCAAACACTTGTGTTATTAGAACATTCAAAAACTGCAGAATCTGTTGCGCCTCTATCTCTACATAGACGTAATGAAGCAAAAAGCGCTCCCGAAATTATCATTAGAGATGAAGAGGAGATAGACGATGTCAATAAAAATGCAAGTAAAAACTCACAGGGAAATAGTCAAAACTTAACCCAACATTCCAAGCAGGTTGTATATCATCGGACTCTTCTTAAAACGCTGATTTCAAATATAATGTTTTTTATTTGCCAAACGAATGCTTGAGAGGAGTTACAAGCGTTCAAATATGTCGGGTGTTCCACCAGCAGCTGTCTCCTCCCTAAGCAGGCTGTGAAGCCCGAGCCGAGACAGTGACCCCGATGACCGCCGGCTAGCAGGTTGCTACAGCAACCTCTCCCTTTCCCCACTTTCCCCTCTTGTGTAAATACTATTTAATAAATATATGTATACAAACTAATGTTATGTACTCCCACTCATCCCGGGGAGATTTTCTTAAGATATCTTGAGATTAACAACATAACATCGGGAATTTTCTTTTTCTTCTCCCCACCCCCACCTCTAGCTACCGTAACCAATCGCGTCACGACGAATGTGTGAGTGTTTTCATCACAATTTTTTCTTTCATATGATTAACAGAGTGCGTGTGAACAAATATTTTTTCCTGTAACGAAGGAAAAATTACTAACGTTTCCGGAAATCTTATACAGGGTGTCCCAAAAAATGTATCCACTGTTTGATTGTCAATAACTCTCTTATTATAATGTCTTTCGAGAAGCAGTAAGCGCTGTTTTGTAGAGCTGGCTTCAACTTAGATTTACAGTATAGAGCGAATCACTGACCGCCCTTCATTACTGTAGGATTACGGTAGGAACTTGGAACATATGGTGTCACTGTGGAAAAAGCTGCCGGTTCAAAAAATTTCAAAAAGATGTGAAAACTTGTCTAATAGAGTTTTTAGGGAAGCTGAGTTCAATACTCAACTAATCTCAAGATTGCGAAGCTTTCTAAACGGTGTAACCGCACTTTTTAGAAACATTGAAAAATGGCCGCTACCTCTTACCTGGCGTAACTCTTCAACGAAGCATCATAATAAGTTGGGAACTTTACAGTTAAAATCAGCAACTCTGTTTGGCCTAGTGTAGAAGTTTTCAGGCTGTTTTGATTCCTTTCTGAGGCAAAATATGGCCTTTCATGGCTCAAAACCCTCTTTCAAGTTTCTACCGTAATCCTACTTTAATGGAGAAAGACGAACGATTCGCTTTATACTGTAAATCTAAGTTGAAGCCAGCTCTACAAAAGGGCGTTTACCGCTTCTCGAAAGATCTCATAATAAGAGAGTTATTAACAATCAAACAATGGATACATTTTTTTTCGGACACCCTGTATATAAAGATGAATGTCTGTTTGTATGTCTGTATGTCTGTCTGTATGTCTGTCTGGACGTATGTTCCGAATAGAAAATTCCATTTCTGAACCGATCCGCACCAAACTTGGCACACATACACTTCGAGCCCCGGCGGGTGTCAAAGGCTACTTTTGGTCATCGATCGATATCGATTTTATCGTTTTTATCGATTTTTTTGCAGAGTTCACCTACGGGGCTGGGAGTTGGCACAGGGGGGTAATCGAGCATGGGGATTCCGAATACAATATTAGTTTTTAGAAATATCCATTATTACTTTACGCTGCTTTTCTTCATCGATCGATATCGATTTTATCGATTTTTTGCAGAGTTCACGTAAGGGGCTGGGAGTTGGCACAGGGGGGGGGGGGGTAATCGAGCATGGGGATTCCGAATACAATATTAGTTTTTGGAAACATCCATTACTTTTATCGTTTTTATCGATTTTTTTGCAGAGTTCACCTACGGGGCTGGGAGTTGGCACAGGGGGGTAATCGAGCATGGGGATTCCGAATACAATATTAGTTTTTAGAAATATCCATTATTACTTTACGCTGCTTTTCTTCATCGATCGATATCAATTTTATCGATTTTTTGCAGAGTTCACCTAAGGGGCTGGGAGTTGGCACAGGGGGGGGGGGTAATCGAGCATGGGGATTCCGAATACAATATTAGTTTTTGGAAACATCCATTACTTTTATCGATTTTATCGATTTTTTGCAAACTTTGAGCTACAGGGCTGGGAGTTGACACAGGAGGGTAAATGGGCATGCTGATTTCGAAAACAACACAGGGAACGGGAAATGAAGTGTAGAAGTGGGCACAGGGAAAGGCTGTGCAGAGATAGGGATGGGACCTTTATTGCAGTGCTTTGACAGGCCCGAGCAGAGCCGGGTAAGCAAGCTAGTATCAATATAAATCAGCCGAAAAAACCTATAGGAGAACACCGGTGATTCGAAAGAATTTCTTACTATTTCTTCATTTTCTTTTGACAGTCCATGCGAGCAGTTCCATAGTCCCAAATAATCAAGTAATAATGCATTATTTAGCTCTATTAAGCGCAAATTATGCGTAGTCGTAACCGAGCCAAATTTGTAGCTTTGGATTTCTGTGCGCAGAACTTAAGATGATCTTCATTTTTTGTCGTTTCAAGTACATTTTATGTTTCCCTTTAGGATGTTCACATAATCTTTTGCAATTTTAAGGCTATTGCGTATATATTTCATCGATTTTTTTTGAACGCAAGCACAATTTCTTTATGTTGGACTTGGACTTGTTCGCACTCGTAGCTACACAACTCAGGTCTGCAGTACGAAACGTTTAGGAGAGATAACTCTGCCTACACGCACCCGATGCTATTTCAAATAGCCAAGAACGGCTTAACATCTAGCTATCAATCTTATGCGTCTCCCGCGAGGTCAAAACAGCGATTAATATTAGAATAGGTGTAAAATTGAACCTCTGCGACCATATGGCCGCGACAGCGAATAAATGTACGCGTCTGCCAGGCCATCTGACCTTTTTACACCTTACCTGCGAACGTCAACTCACCAATGCGAAGACATTCAAGTAGCAATAAATCATTGCGCCTGCTCACCGCGAGTTTACGTTCTTTCAAATTAGCGCTGCTGTCTACTTAAACTAGATCTACGCAGATGATATTCATACCTTTATTGCAAAACTAAATAAAAAAAACAACAATGAAATAAATTACATGTTGTTGTAGTCCACCTGAGCACGTCTCAGAGCCCTCGTTAGGGACTCTACATTATTAAGGTTGACCAGGTTTACGTGTCTTACCAGGTGGAAACCATTCTTCACCACATCGGTGAATGAATTCGGCAGCGGTAGAGTCGTTCCTCGATTAATGATTGTTAGGGCTGCAAACCCTAGGGGATGGTCGGAGTGGTCCCCTTCCACTTGTTTCCAGGAAACGACCGGCGGAATGTCAAACACACTCCTTTTGATATTCGCTGCCATCTAGCAGCAGTATCGTCATAATGGCATACCCGTCAGCGTCGATATCTATAATCGTCTCACTGACATTCTGACGTTCTAGGTGGCACAGGATCAGCTTCTGCTTCACTTCCTCAGGACTAGCATAATAGTTCTGGTCCATCACGTCGCGCTGGATAGGTAGATATCTTCTGGCGCTCACCAGGTCTTGAAAAAGCATTTCGTTCTCCTGAAAACATACCATAACATACAAAATTTTTCTGACAAACACCAGTTGGCCGATGTTGAGACTCCAGAGATCGAGGGAAAAATTCCGTTCTGCCTGCCATATATTTCGGAAGAATTCAGCAAGGCAGTAAGGAGGCTAGTACATCAAGTGGATCTACAAGATTGGATAAGAGTCGTGGACGTACCTCCCCCTAACCTTAGGGGTCAACTCGTTCGTAATCGCGCTTATGATAGGCTGTGTATGACCCCAGGGTGTGTAATATGTCCGTTCGGCAAGGAGGGAGATTGCATGGTGTCGGGGGTAGTGTACCGTATCAGTTGCCAGGCATGTGGGGGCACGTATATCGGCGAGACGGGGCGCCCCCTATGTACTCGGATCAAGGAACATCTAGACGGGCTCAAAAAATCCAATACGGCAACTCCACTGGGCATGCACCGCAGGCACTTCCATAATGACGCAGACATAGCTGTAGAGGTCACGATCTTAGCACGCGAATCCGAAATCCTGGCGCGCAAGACATTAGAAGCGTTTTGGATTGCCGCCAAAATTCCAAATTTGAATAGAAAGGATGAGTGCATAGCAATCACTAATGAGTTGGCCGCTTATCAGAGCCTTTGTGGCTTCTGAGGTTAAGTGCTAGGTCACTGGGTACTATAAAAGTTGTTGGAGTTTAGTTACTGGTATACGGTCTGCTGACCAAGCAGTCATCAGCTGTTTAGGTGAGCACTAGTTTAATTCTGCATTTACTTTTGTAGCTCTTGGTTTTCTGACGCATTGGACATCTTTTCTGAGTCTTGATACGGTTTTTGGCAGGATAGATTACCTATGCATTCGACAATTTCAGACTCTGAAAAAGGCGATATTGTCGAAACGTCAGTCAATAAAGAAGTTACTAATCTCGGTGCACAGCTCAAGCAGTCTCAAAAAGCAATGAAAACATACCCTATATAGTTCATAGTTGGATTTTTTTCCTAAATCAAGGAATTTCACCCACCTTTTGCAAATCTACCACCTTGCCCTTTTCCATTTCTAACTCGCGCATTCCGCGCACTTCCCGTACTAGTATTTCCTTCGCCAACTCCTTTCGCGCTTCCTCGCGCTGCCGCGATTCGTCCATAACTTTTCCAACCACCTCTTTCAGCTGACTTATGGTGCTCTTCTCCGCAGCCAGCTGTCTTTAACTTGCGCGAGTTCTTCGCGTAGGTATTTAACTCGTCCTCCATGTGCTCAACACGCCCTTCTTCCTAAAGTATACGGGAATATTCAAAAAAAGAAGGAAACGACAATGTTTTATAATACTTCAAAAAAAAATGTTTTTCTTACCCAGCCGGTTGTAGTTAAGCAGAGGGACGGAATTGGCATAGGCGGGACAGTGGACATGGCCATGGGTTCACCAACAGCTAGACATTCACCATTGAGGATCACTGACATCTAGAAAGGAGGGTGGATCCGGTGAACTGTGACAGATTTCGACCTTCACCTTATAAGGTAAACACCCTCCTTTCTATCTCAACTCTGCACTGCCTATGCCATGTATTTAATTGTTCTCGCCGTATATCACGTGCTTACTTCAACAGCGCACGTTACTCGGAAGAACAAATTTGTATCCCCACTCTACACTACATTATCTATGCCATATATCAATTGTTCTCGCCGTATATAGCGTGCTCACTTCAACAACGCACGTTACCCGGAAGGACAAGCTATTTACGCTCGCGGACGAGCTTCTCAAAGGATTGGAGATGGCGGGTGTTCCACCAGCAGCTGTCCCCTCCCTGAGCAAGCTGTAAAGCCCGAGCCGAGACAGTGACTCCCGATGACCACGGGCTAGCAGGTTGCTGCAGCAACCTCTCCCTTTCCCCACTTTCCCCTCTAGTGTTAATACTATTTAATAAATAAATAAATAAATAAATAAATAATTATAAAGATAAATAAATAAATATATATAAACTAATGTTATGTACTCCCACTCATCAGGATAGGGCCCGATCATCCTTATACCTGACAAATAGGAGAAATTTTTCGACTTTCGATGAACATATTTCCTTAAAAGGCAGCATGGCGCGTATCCACAGAAAAAGCACATTCACCAAAACCTAGATCAGCGTTTTCGAAACGTATTTTGCGGAACATGCGTCACAGAACACTTGTGTCGGGACGCAGCTAGCTACAACAGCTGCTGAGAAGGAGGTTGGCCGAAGACAGCCAACCTCTGGCAGTGACCTCCGCTCGCCGGCAGGAGCCGGTGCCCTCTTTCCCCTTTTCCCTTCCCCTTTTGTATATAACTATGTATGATAAATATTATAGTAAAGAACTGTATAAACCCGCTACACATCAGGTTAAAGGGAGTAGCTAACCTTTTATACCTGACATGGAGGCCCCAGGGAGATTTCTTTTTCTTTACACCCCTACATTTTTTTCATTGGGAATAAAATTACACCCCCCCCCCCTTCGCCCACCCCGCCTACCCTTTCGTCACTCTGCGAAGTGTGAGTTGTTTATTTTTTATAGTAACTACCAGAATGTTTGCAGTGCGTGAAAAAAAAATAGTGAAATAATCATAATTTTTTTCCAGAAATGTGAACATTGTTCCAAAACAATTGAAAAAAAAACTTTTTATGTAGTGTATATACATTATGTTCACATATTGTCTACAAAAGTCCTTGCGAGCAGTCCCAGTGTCCCAAAATTAATACATATACATAACTAAATTAATTAGCTCGCTCACTTTCTATAGATTTACTATATTATTGATGATCAAATCATAAATTACTATATATCCTTGCGCCCTACTTTTGCACAGTCGGCTAATTACCATCGGTAATACATTGACGCGCGAAACATATAAGTAATACCTTGCGAGTGAAAATTACTATCCATATGCAAACAATACTTTCCTTTATTACCAATACACCTAGGGAAATTCCGCATAAATTCAAATTATTTTCTATTTTTCAATGAGTGTGGGACACACTCTTGTTTAAGCAAGTAAAATATCTATATCTATACATAATCATTTAGTGGCGCCCTGTGTTAGTATCTCTGGGGGATAGTTACATAGAAGTTGTTATTATTAGTGAGCAGTTATCAAGGCATTGTCTTATAACCTGTACTTATGTATCAGTGGCGTACCGAGGGGAGGGCGGGGGGGGGGGCACCCTTCGAGAATGGGTCGCGAAATTTTTGAAAGTTACTTATATGGGTTATAAAAATGTGCAAGTAACTTGTTTATAATTGTAAAAAATTAGAATAATTTTTAAAAAATTTTCAAAATTCAATTTAGCCTTGTAAAAAAATTTTTTCGGGGGTGTGGCTGACGCCACGCCCCCTTTTTCCAAATTTTAGAGGTTGGGGACCCGCAAAAATTTTGAAAAGCACCCCTCAAATTTTTTCGGAGTGCGTGGCTAACGCCACGCACCTTCATTCGAAAAAATTTTTTGTCGCCCCCCCCCCGAGCGGAAATCCTGGGTACGCCACTGTTATGTATATACTTTATTAATATTGTTTCTTCTCATCTTTTGGACTGGACTGTTCGCACTGTAGCTACTATTACCACACTAGTGTTTACATGCAATCTGGAAGGACAGAATCCGCCAGATACACATGTCAACTATCTACCGCGCTATGTGACACAGCCAGGCGACCTCTAATCCTTAACCCTATCAAACCTATTGCTGCGGCAATTGTCCGCGCGCGTACAAAACAACCATAACTCAGCGCCTAAGTGTAAGCAAAGTGACTGACAACCGAATCGAGATTAATGCTAGCGCCTGCTCAAACTCGGTGACCTTTCTTACAATATATGAAATAATTGCACAGCTGTCTAGATTACAATCACGACACCCAGGATGAGGCATAGGAAATTTATTGCCTACAATATTACACCACTTTTCTGATATCAGCTGCCCAGAACAGAATAACTACAAACTTTATTACACAAAATAGCTACATTAAATGGGGAAAGGCACTTTTGAAAGAATACCTACATATTCCTCCACGGCTTATTGGCAGCATCCAGAGCCCGAATGACTGTATCGAGCCCGAGGAGATTGACGAAGTAGACGCCACTGATGTTCTCAACACTGCGCTTCAGCAACGCAGCCATCCTCGGAGGCATGTACATAAATCCTCCTAGGTTTATGATAGTTATATGCCCGAAGTGGAGTTTCATTCCTGGCCGGTCCCCCCTCCAAACGTTGTCGTCATCGACTTCCTCCCAGTTGTAGGGGGTTCCGTCGTTGCGCTCCATCAAACCTAAACGTTAACGTTTTTAGTACCACTCTCTCAAAATTCAAACATTAAGAGAAACAATTAATCTTTATTTAACTTACCACTAATGGTCGTATTGTCGACCATTAGGAGCGTCAAGAACGTCCTACCATCTCGCTGAATCTCAATGGTGGATTTCTCCACCATTGAACGAGATAGATAGGACAGGAGGAGCTCGTCCTCCTGGGACTGCCGAAATACGTCCTCCAATGGGTTGACCCTCTTGAGTGGCAGAAAGCATCGCGCCCTCCTCAAATCATCTACCATCCACTCGCTCTCCTTTAATGGGAAAGAGCATCATAAGTAAAAATACAATTACAGTTATATACTTACCTTCCTAAGAGAGACAATGATGTCTTCTCGGGAATTCAGACGAGCTTCATATTCCTCCACGACCCCTTCGTGCTCCAAAGCAGTCTCGTACTCTTTCTGCAAAGTCCGTTCCAACATCGTTTCCATGCCAGCTTCGCGTTCGGCGCGGGTGGACAATTCTTCCTTCAGAGCACGCACCGTTTCCTCCAGCACGCGTATTTGATTTGCCTGGTTGCCCTCAGGCGCAGAATTTCTTCCATCTCACTTACCTAAATATAAATATTAGAAAAAAAAACAAAGTTTTTTTCTTTCTCTCTCTCTCAAAAAAAAAAACACTGAACAATTTGAGTTTATACTTACGGAGGAGTACTGTGAACCTGAAGAAACACTTCTCCAGCCCCCGGGAGACAACATTGCTCCAATCCGGTGACTCCAGCGACCAGTTTGAAGGAGGAGATGGATATGGAGTTCCATTGTTTTCGCGATCGACAGACGCATTTTATCTGAAAAAAAAACATTTTGTTTAAGTGAATAGGCTTAACAAAATATCATAACAAATCCAAGAGCTAACAAGAGAGCAACCGCTCTGTAAGCAAGAAAAAATAAGATATGGATGCCAAATGAGGTCTGGTGCATAATACCCTGCACCAGAACTTTTAATCTTGACAGGCCTACAGTTATGTAACAGGCTTATCCGCATATGTAGCTATAGCTACTCCAGAAAAAAATATATGTATAATATATAATATATATATACAAATTGGAAATAGATTTTTTTGGAAGGTCAGAAATATTACACTCTAAGAACATATGCTCCAGATGGCTGGCTTCTCCCAGATTTTTGTAAGAATTACAATGCAAAGATGACCCGCCTCCTTTGGAAGAAGCTTAGATCATTCTATATCCTAGTAGCCACCCCAGCTGGTTGCTTCTTGAGTCTCCTTGTAGTTTCCCCAACCCAACCTTCATCCTTCTAAGGTCCATTAGGACTGGCAATAGCCTCATACCATCTCGTCTCTCCACCCTCTCGCGCCCGCCACCGTCCAAAGCCACGTCCGCGACCGCCGCTCAAGCCTCTCCACAACTAACGTACTATCTCGGACCAACAACAAACATTGGACTTGGCAACCAACAATCTGGATACAGGTGCGATTTTATTGAGACAAATAATTAGTGAACTATAATATAGTGACTACTCATCTATCTTTTTGAAAAAAAAAACCCTTTCAGATTTTCAAATTCAAAGAATTTATTTCAAGTAAATTTCACAATAAATTTAAAAATCAAAAGAAATTTTTTAATCAAGAGCAAAACAGAATTTTTTTCTCTTTCAACAGCAATAACAGTTTCAACATTGTTTTCATTACATGAGTAGTTCTGATACCGATCGTACATCAAGTGAATCACCAAAACCTTGTAAAGTCACAGAGAGAGGTTCCGTAAAAAGAAGACCTAGATCTCACTCACAAATTACTCAAAAGTCCAGGTAGTAGAAGATCAGCCAGTAGTACCAGTTCAGCAAGATCAGCCAATAGTACCAATTCAACAAGTAGTAGAAGCCGCACATTCCTCTAGATCACCAGTAGAAGTAGAACGTTCAGCTTCAGCTCCTCCATCCGATTCTTCTCAGTCAGATAGAGCTGAAAGCGTAATTCTTGAATCACTTTCTTCACATTCATCCCGCACTTCAGATCATTTACAACAAGAGCATCAAAATCCTTTTGATCCAAAGTAGTAAATAACCTTATCGATATTCAGAGCAAGATTACTGTGGGTACAATTCATTTACCAGTGAATTCAATGGCTAATAATCAACAAGCAATAATGCCTCGAATTCCAAACGACGCGCAAGTTATCATTGATCGTTTGGGTTCTGTTTTCAACAAACTGACTCTTTCATCTCACTCCTCGAAACTGCCCACATTTTCAGGAGATCAAGGAGGCAAAGGTTTTATGAGTTTCCTCGCGAAATTCATTGAAATTGCAACCATTATGGGCCTAGACGAACAAAAAATGTTCTTCTTTTACCAGCACATTTGCGTGGTGTAGCGAAAGTTGTGTACGATAACATCTCAGCTGATGACAAAGGAAAAGCTTGGAATACTATAACCAAAAAGTTGAAGGAACATTTTTCGACTGATCATTTTTTGGATCTAGCACGCGAAAAACTGATACAAATGAAAATGGAACCAAGCGAGTCTCCCCTTCTTTTTGCAAATAGACTCAAAACGGAGACGCCGCTTATCCAGAAAGTGACCAAAAAGAGCGGACTTTTCTTTTGACAACTATTTTTACAAATGGTTTACCAACTAGCATTAAAGAAAAACTCAAACTTAAACGACCTCTTCCAACAAATTATGACACGCTACTCAAAGAAGCGGAGCGAGTTTATAGCCTCTCATCTCCAGACGACATATTTAATTCTAACAGTGCCATCTTGGAAAGTAGACAAATTTTAAATAATATCGAACGGTCCAATTCGGCAATCAACGTAATTCACAGACCAAATCGGTATAGAAATTGGAATCAACATCAGAGACAAAATTGGAACCAATATCCAAGACAGCGCAATTATCCTCCTGCAAATCGTAATTCTTTCCGCTCTCCAAATCGTCCTTCTAATTATAATCGGTATCCTCCAAGACAAAATGTTCGATTTGCACCCAGTCCTACTAACAATCGTTTCGGCAATTCATAAAACAGGTCACGATTCAATCGTGAGCGCTCTAGATCACAAACACCAGTAAATTTCCATGTCAGGTATAAAAGGTTAGCTATCCCTTTAACCTGATGTGTAGCGGGTTTATGTATTCTTTACTATAATAATTATCATACATAGTTATATACAAAAGGGGAAGGGAAAAGGGGAAGAGGGCACCGGCTCCTGCCGGCGGGCGGAGGTCACTGCCGGAGGTTGGCTGTCTTCGGCCAACCTCCTTCTCAACAGCTGTTGTAGCTAGCTGCGTCCCGACATCTCCATTCCTTCGGAAAGCTTGTCCTCGAGCTTGTGACATAGTTGGGGTTTCGACTGTTGTAGTTGGCATTGGCGTGGTTGATGTTCTTCCTGGTAACGTGCGTTGGAATATGCTCGTAATATACGGCGAGAACAGTTGATATATGGCATAGGCATTGTAGTGTAGAGTGGGGATAGATTTGTTTTTCCGAGTAACGTGCGCTGTTGAAGTAAGCACGTGATATACGGCGAGAACATACAGTTGAATTAGTGATATATTAAAATACATACGAATGTGAGGATATGGATCCGTTGGACTACGAGCAGACACGACCTTCACCTAGAATGGACTACGAGCAGACACGAGCTTCACACACATCAGGTTAAAGGGAGTAGCTGACCTTTTATACCTGACACTTGACAGATCGCGCATTCAAACGCTCATAACTTCTCCCAGATAGTCACTAGGCAGATAATAAACAAATATTTGTGATTGGCGTTTTAAGACGTGTCCGATGATGTACAGCATGTTTGATATAGCTGGGTTAATTCTTGACCATTCCATGCTCAGTTGAGTAAAGAATTTGCAAAAATGAAAGAAAAAAGTGAAAGCAACATGTGATGGAACCCCATATACAGTGGAGGACGTCCACTAGTTCTTACACAGAAGTTGATTAGGGGGAAGGCAATTCTCGCACATCAGATCTGGTGTGCGAAGATTGGTGCGAATCCTATTATTGACTTGTAGACTTGATTTAATCATGAAACTAAAGAAGAATGTTTTCCACTGAGCAAGAAGCAAATTAGAGGCAGTAGCTTGGCAAAACTGTACGACTCGAGAAGCTGATATGTATGTATGGTAGACTCAACCCAAAATACGGAAAACAAGCAAGTAAGAGCGCACAGCATGCTGCCTCCCCCCCCCCCCCCCCCAAAAAAAAAAACCCGCGCTTACAAGCCCTTCCTACACAGTTCGGAGCTCCCGCGACTCTCTCCTTCTAGATCGAGTATTTGCAGGAGAGACATGATTCCTGACTTTTCCACCGTATCCTTTTTGAAAACGATCAGCGGTAGTGCGTTCGTGCACGCTTTCATGCGGAACTGATTGCTGCGCGCTTGTTTGAAAGCTTCCGTCAAACAGTGGAAAAGAGTTGCGACTGCAGAAGCTGCATAGATTGCGCGTGGTCATGCGACATCCGGCCAGTCTCTTCTTGTTTGCTACCTAGAAATCGGAGCCGAATTCGTCTAATTTCAGAATGGGTTCGTTCCGCAAAGTGTCAGACATCAAGCTCGACATTGAGAAATCTGTCAAACGTGAAGGAACCTTCGATGTTGTAAGAAAGCAAGCGTTTGCAATCGTAAATTCGGATGGATTTCTCGACGAACTTCAGGTTAGCTTCCTTTGCGTTTTATTTATCTTTTCTTTTTTTGCTGTCAGCAACTTACTTTCTCTTCCAAAATACGTTCAACACGCTTTTTTTTGTTTGTTATTCAAGCATTCTTAATCGTATTTTTTTCAGCCATGAATAAGAATCTTACTATCCGATTCACGATTCTTATCATGTTGCTGAGGTCTTGAAAAGATAAGATTTTTGGGCGGTAGTATAGTCGAATTGTGTGATCGGCTCCCAGATTCGTGGGGAGACGGTTTGCGAAGTTTCCGTGATAATAATTATAAACTTGCTGAACCTCCGCGTTATAGCATCCTTCATCCTCTGACTTAGAGACACGAGAACGCGTACGTCTGATTAACAAGTTCATAGAGTGCGTTCCAACGCGTTCTGGATGATTTACTACTAGACTAGTGAACTAGTAATCTAAAGGTGCTATTTGGGAGAGCGTTCGCTTCGAGATTTTTGAATTGAGTTAACGATTCTTTATATATGATAGATAGATTTCGTGAACGAACATATTTAGGCTCGTTAAACAATGCGAGTTTGTACGTGGTTCACGAATTCCTGCTAGTAATCTACCACAGCGCGTAAAAATGCACTCATAAACTTGTTAATTATGCGTACGCAAAGCGTTCTCATGTCTCTTAGTCAGAAAATGAAAGATATTACTTTTACCTCCGATCCAAAATCGCCACGCTTTGAGTTGGCAGAATTCTCCTCTCCACGAACTTGAGAGCCGATGATGCGCTCCACAGGTGGCGAGCGTTAGAGCTCGGGCTTCAATCCGAACCATGTTTGTATTTCGAATCATGGCGACCAGACCATTGTGCAATACTTTAGGAAATGCTTCTTGGTCATTAATGGCAGACAAGGTTGACAAGGAACAAGCATAGAAATATACTTGAAGAACTTCTCTCATCATTGTCATAGCGTTCACTATGCGCTTACTTTTTCTGTCTTCACTTTTGGAAAAGTACAGTCGAGTAGATTTAGCGGTAAATATAGTGTGCTTGCACAGAAGGTGAAATGCGGTGAAATTTGCGCGTGAACAAGTAGCCACGTCAGTACCGCGGGTATCTTGCGCGCGCAATTGGCCGGCGTCACAGTCGAAACTATTTCTTCACGCGCCAATTTTACCGCATTTCACCTTCTGTGCAAGCACACTATATTTACCGCTTAATCTACTCGACTGTACCTGACTTGGATAGAAACTGAATCTCTATTGCAGAAAACAAGGAAAGCGATTTTCTTTTTCGAGTAAAGTAGTTAGTGGTCACCATCTGTTAAGCATAGGACCTTCTAGGTCACCTTAGAGAGCATCTTTTGCCCATATTACATATTTTTCCTAAACAAAGACTTTGTTTTACAGTTTTGCTTGATTTAATTGGAAGTTGAACACATCTAATTTCTAAGAATGACAATTGCTTATCCATATGGCTTTTAGAGAAGGGTGGCTGTCGATATACGAAATATGGTCCGATGTAATCCTGAACGTTTGTCTAAAGAAGATTTGAGGAGCATGATTAGACACCATTTGCGTACCAAGTAAGATCATTCGTTTTAGACGTAAGTATTCTTACTCGATAATTATTGCATTAGGTACGTTCCGGAAATATCGGAAAAAGTGAATTCCTCTGTTGACAGGGAATGGTTGAAATCGCAGTTGGCGGATAACGTCAAAGAAAAGGTGGGTGTACTATTTTTTAGTGAGTTTCAATTGTAAATCGCTTCTGTACACCAATATGCATGCGACTCGGAGTTGAGAAATACCTACTTTTCGAAGTATATTTTTTATATATTTTTTACTTTCGATACATATTATGTCAGCAAGCTCCTGGGAAATAACTGCTTTTTTTTCAATCAGTTTTGGACTTCTGGTGTGCCGACTCGAAATAACTGTGCCAGAATGAACTTGTTTGTTAGAGCTTTTCCGCATTTGTGGGCGTTACGCGTACGGTTGGTCAATCATTCATCTTGGATAGGTGATATTGTGAAGTATAAGCTATTAGAGCTGTAGTATGAGTATTCGTGGATTGGAGTGGATTGGTTTTACGCGATACGCTGTCAGTTGATTTACGCACAGAAAAGTTTGATGAAGAACACCTTGACGTTTTGAGTTTGCACAGTTTCCACTTTATGCACATAGATGACCCGATTTTTTGAGAAACCTAAGGAAACTCTAAAAACGCTTTTTTTAAACTCTAATATGCAACAAATTTATTTTAATGAACGAACATAAAGTGCATGGCGCGCGACTTTCTATCATCACTGTCAGTTCAGTTTGCACTCAGGCGCATGTGTTTACAGGTCGACAAAGCTCTAATGGTCCAAGCTGTCTTAGAAGGGAAGGTATCTGCCGATTCTTTTGACTTTGGCCACTTTGCTGCTTCCGCGGACTCTGTACCCAGCTCCAGCTGTGAAGAAGTTGATAGTGTAAACTCGTGCTCAGATATGTCTGTTTCGGACATGGCGTCTGATACCTCATACGTCGACGTCATGAACTAAGTTCCTTGCTCTCCTGTTGATCTCTAAACACGGGTAGACGGTTTTTTCATTTTTCGTTTTGCAAAGTTGTCTGTTTGTGAAAAGTTTTTTCATTGATATTCATCTGTTTTTTTTTGTGGTCCAGAAGCTTGCTGGTCAGTGTGTAAATAAAACATTCATATCTCATGTGTGGGATCAGTACCGAGCCAGGCTCGTTCAACTTCAGTCGTAGGGGCCCACAACGACAGCTGACTTGTGGTGAGATATGTGACGGATTTTAAGATCAGATCAATTTAGTTTTTTTTAGGTAGAATTTACGAAGGAACACTTGTGATGAATTGATAGGATACTAAAGACAAGTAACTTGCAAAGGTTACTCTTCGTTTTCCTCTACATACATTAAAGTTCGAACTATATCAAACTTTAGTTCGCAGTTTTAGATCAATATTGCTGAACACAACTAGATAATACCATCAAATTCTACAGTATACTCGGTGACGACCAGATCCTCAAAGTGGATCATATTGTAACTTCTGTCGTCTTCTCAATTTTCCCCTTCAAAAGGGTTAAACCTTTTCATGCGCACTGTACAGGCTAAATATGTAAGACTTGAATAAACAACTTACAATGTAATTAAAGGCTTTCTCCATTTTGTCGTTGTGACAAAAATCCCATAACAATTCGTTTTTCGGAATCCAAAGCCCAATTTAGGTTGGCAAATTGCACTTCTAATTTCACCTTGGAAAAGCAGTGATGATTCTAATGATTTGATCATTTTGACGCTATTTTGGAATATTTTCAACTTTGAATGAATAGAATAGTGTTTGCGAAGCATCAATAAATGAAATCGAAATAGTTGATGGACTGAGAAAATTCAAAAACCACTTTTTTGTCACTTTATCCAATTTCTGGGTGTACAAGCTTTATAGGATTCTTTTCTCAAATTTACAAATGCTAGCTTACTCAAGTCATCAGCTCGCATTGTCAGCTTCATAAAGAAAGTTACAATTTATTTATTACAAAGTTTATAAACTCGTAAACTTTCCTTACCTTATTATGCCTAACAAGGGAAGGATACTTGGTGACCGTGGCCTTTTGAAATGTAACGTATACCATTAAATGCATCTTGAGGCGCTGATTCCAAATCTATTTTCGGTATCTGCTGTGCGGTTTTCCGAAAGAAGTTATGAACATTTCTTGCCACAAAAATTTGCACTGTTTTTGATGCAGGATTTACCAATATCGTTAGAATATTCGCTTACGCACTACAAAATAGCGTCAAAATGAAGTAAAGCTTTACGTTAAGCTCAGAAAAACTGTCTTTGATAAATCAGAGTCTAAAAAGCCTGGATGCTAACGATTCTGACTGCCTAAATCTCGTAAAATCAATATAGAAAAAAGTCCATAATTTCGTTCACAGAGTCGCACAGCAAATAATGAACACAGGTTTGGAATCAGCGTTTCAAGGCGCATCTACTGGTATACATCTCATTGCAAAAGGCCACGGTCACCAAGTATCCTTTCCTTGTAAGTATAAAAAATAGGAAAAGAGACTAATCTAATTGATAACTGAAAGGAATTAAAATTAACTCACACGAATCAATCACGATTCAGAGTAATTTTTTGTACTTTGTAGGACAGATAAAAAACCCGCTCCTAGATTAGCATTTCTAACAAGCGAAGAAAATATTAGGTTGGTCCGAAAGTTCGTTCGCACCATTTTCAAAAAATCATAACTTCCTTCCCTCACAATGATTTTGCGCAAATCAAGTTTTATTAGAAAGCGTAAAGCATGTAGTTTTCAATGGTCCCCTGATGACCTTTCAGCATATTCAGATTGCAGAGATAAAAATGAAAGGACGAGAACATCCGAAATTCGGAATTTTTGGGAAATAATTCTAAAAATCTAGAAACTGCGCGATTAAATCCAGAAAAGCCATTATCCTAATTTATCTTATATTTGATTACTAACTGAGTTAAGTTTGTGCTGATCGAGCCCTTCTTTTAAAAGTTATGAATTTTTGAAAAAAAAATGCCGAAAAATCGATTTCTTAGGAATCCTTAGGAAAATGATTTTTCGGCATTTTTTTTCAAAAATTTAAAACTTTTGAAAGAAGGGCTCGATCAGCACAAACTTAACTCAGTTAGTAATCAAATATAAGATAAATTAGGATAATGGCTTTTCTGGATTTTATCGCGCAGTTTCTAGATTTTTAGAATTTTTTCTCAAAAATTCCGAATTTCGGATGTTCTCGTCCTTTCATTTTTATCTCTGCAATCTGAACATGCTGAAAGGTCATCAGGGGACCATTGAAAACTACATGCTTTATGCTTTCTAATAAAATTTGAATTGCGCAAAATCATTGTGAGGGAAGGAAGTTATGATTTTTTGAAAATGGTGCGAACGAACTTTCGGACCAACCTAATAAATGGCAAAAACGCTGTAATGTTTTCTCACTAATATCTCCGTTTCAGCACTATCTTAAGTATAAATAACTTGGTCGAATTCTCAGTGCTTATTCTGATTGATTGATGTCGTAGATTTCATGTGCATTGACTATGGTGAGATAAATTTGAAGATAAAGATACTTCTTGACCTGGGGTCCTCCACAAGCAAAGAACTTATGGGAACAGCGTGTCTGCGGTCTTGCAATTTGTTCACACGCAGATGTGTAGGCTGACATTCACCGACAACATTTGCGCGTGACAAATTGTTGCGCCGGCAGTTCCCGCATTTGAAGAGCGCACATTATGAAGCTTGCTTCTATGTCGGTTTAGTCATACGCAAATGTTGTTTAGCAAATATTTGAGAAATATTCTTCGCAAGTTTTTTTTGTTTATTTAAATGTTTGACACTCAGGGCAATACTACATATATTTATCGTCAGATGTATTGACCTATAAATGCATGTATGGCCCGAAAAAACCCTTTTTTTACAAGGCTAAATTGAATTTTCAAAATATTTCAAAATTATTTTAATTATTTACAAGTATAAATAAGTCTCTTGCACATTTTTGTGACTCATGTAAGTAATTTTCAAAAAAAACTTGCTGCCCGCGACGAGGCCCCCTCCCCGCCCCCTCCCCCTCGGTACGCCACTGGTTTAGAGCTATTTCTCATATAAGATTCATTTCGAAATATCACATGCTGTTCCACTGACGTTGTCACAGCTCCAGCGGGACTTGGGCTCTTCGCAACCGCATCGCTCGGCCTTGCACCGCGTTCGCGATCATTCAAGGCAATTTTTGCGCAGCTACTAAAGACTGAGAAAATGCCCAAAGGTTACGTTTGCAAGCGTTACGCAAGGCCGGGTGAGGCGGCCGCGAGTTCGGGAGACGTTGCAGCTGTGACACTGTTAAAATAGCGTGTAGTCATTTCATCTAATTTGCTCAATTTTTTTTTGTTCACCTTTTCGCAAAACTTGATACCTATGGTTAGAAACAGGCTACTAGCAAGATTGCAACATGTTAATTATTAAGAAGACACGTCTATGTTTGCTCGTGTTCTAGCGCCGTGCCAGCAGCCACGCGGATGCGCCCAGTATTGATCGATCGTCGAGCTGGCACGCGCTAGCTTGGCACTGCCCCGTTCAACCTTGAACAGAGCCTAAAATCACATTGCTTTCATCATCTATCGATCTAGCACTTTGTTAACAAGGTATGGCGTCAAAAACATTTCAGGAAAGCCTGATATTTTTCGAGCAGCCGCATTGTAGCTTGCATCGTCGTAGTGCAAAAGTTACTCTTCATAACAACTGGATTACTTTCCACATGGCAATACCATAAAGCTTATTGACACCTTCTTTTTAATACTTTATTTTGTACATAGATATAAGATACATGATGCAATGTTATAGAATATAGGAAAAATGTCGTAAATCTTATGAACAACTTGCAATTTTCTGTCAATACATCTGTCGCTCTACTACTCTTTCTCTTTGTTGAAGCAGCAAACGTCCAGAACAGAAGAGTATCGCTGCTAGCGCTCCAATGCAAATAATGGCGAACATCACTCTAGAACATTATAGTATACGAATGAAATTTCCTGCAAAGAACTGACATAGCCCAGGTTTCGAAATGGAAGCAGCATTGGTATGGATTATCGTCGCAACAGGCGTAGTAATGCAGAAAAGAGTCACGTGGGCAGCTGAAAGCAAAGAATTTCTCAGTTTTATTTCAGCCTCCCAAGAAGGTAAGTCAAAGCAATTTTAATATCCTCAATCTCGACAATTTTACGTAACTCTAGTTTCATTTTATTTAACAATTTCACCATATTATTTGAAGTTTCTCACTTCAGAATAAGCTTTGTTTCTGTAAAACTTTCTAGTCATAGGGAGATATAGATTGAAGTGGCAGTAAGATAGATATCTCAGAGAAGTGTTTTTTAAAAGTTTTGCTATTCCTAATAGATTGATTACTCTCCTTGCAAGCTCCCACGTCATGCAGAATCAAGCTTAAAGATATTGATAGTACTCCATGCAGTTTTCATTCTCTATCAATCGTATTTTTATTGTATTAGCAAAATTTGTACTAACCCCAAAGATGTCCAGGTATCTTGTTGATAGAGTAAACCTGACAGGATACAATCATATTTTTAGCCCTATCCATAAACCACCACAATGATGAATTTTTATTGAAAATACCGAATGGAGGGTGTAGGACTTTATGCAAGTGACACTTTTTTTTGCATTTTTTGCAGCGCGAGCTGTTACTATGACCTTGTATAGGAAGTGTCATGGTGAATTGTTGTCGCTGTCTAGCCATACGATCATTCATTTTTTATGCTAAAGGTACGTTCTATGGATAGCAAAGGTCATTGACATGCATCTGACAACAAAAAAATATATCAGGTTGACCAATAAATAATTTTGGTCGCTTTTGCGATTCCTACAAATGCTGAGGACAAATTTGTGTCCAGTGTTTGGAATTCTCGAAAAGAGCAGTCTCATAAGAATTGGACTTGGACTGTGTCTGAGCATAATTGTTTTCCAATGGAAGAAATCCGCAGAGAAATATTAGGTTGGTGCAAAAGTAATGCGCGTTTTTCTAGCCCTTGTTTCAAGATAGCTTATCTTCATCGAAGTTTCTCTTATGAAACTTACCCAGCATATTTTCAGGAAGCTTTTTTCATGCTCTATACAACGGTGCTTGAAGGAAGCTTCTAGCCTCATTCGTTAAAAATTTATAAAGCTTCATACAACCGCACTCAAAACCAGAATTTCATCGCGCTTACTTTTTGGGCCAGAATTCATGCGCGAGTAAAGGCATTCTTTTGAAAATTTGACTACTGTATGTAGTGGAAATTCCCTACGTTATGCACGTTTCATTGTTATCCTAGAAATTATTTAGACTGAGATCTCGGCGCCTCAACATGAGTGATGGTTTTGGCCATTCTGTGGCCCATAGAATTCCTTTGAAGAGGGCAATCGCCATAGTTCTGCTCATTTCTGTAAGCGTAAGGGTGGGCCTCCTGTTGACAGTTTTTGCAGAAATGTGGAAGCTGTTCAGTACACAGAAAATCAAAGATCTCCATATTTTGGGATTTTAAGGGCTACCAAAAAAATGTCGAAAAAAGTGGACAGTTTTGAATATTATTTTTTTTCCTTTTCGCAAATATTCTTTATTTGAGCCCTTTTGTACTTCCTTTGTCTACTGGCTTGCGGCTACAAGATAGTCAACTTACCATTTATACAGACAAATCTTGAAGTAAGTTATGATCAGTTAAAAACGAGGTTTGCGAAAAAAAATTTTTTTGCTTATCAATCCATATTTTTCCACCGATTTGCGGCAATAACATAAATCAAGTGCGCTGTGTAGAGAGAGGTTTGATGCCTCTGATGAACTTTGCCGCACTGAAAAATATGGATTTTTTGAAAAATTATAGCACGTCAAATTCAGAACTCGCAAAACGCGCATTACTTTTGCACCAACCTAATAAAAACTCGAATTTCAAAGATTATTGCGCGCGGATATGAGAATTCGATTTTTTAAATCGAAAAGTCTCAAAGTGATTTATCACAGTTTTTATTGTAATTTGCTCAATAGAGAAATCTTATCTGTATTTCAAACCAAGATTTCTGTTTCCTACATCTATTACAGCATGAAAACGAAGCTCAGAATGTCAAAAGATTGTACCTTTGGAGATTTAGCCATGTTGGGCCATAGCTGTCTCTTTTATCGATGATAGAAAATTCTGATCGGTTGATATGTGGTAGAAAAAACTTCAAACTACTTCTATAGAAAATCACCAAGAAACATCGACAAAAGTTGTTATGGAGATTTGCATGCTAAAGAGAAATTATTCTTTGACTAAACTATAATATATCCGAATGGTGCTATCTAGAGTGAATTCAGAACTGATATTTGGCGTTCGGTGTCATTTTCTGCGTAACATATTTCTCAGATTCCCAGTAGAAGACTCGCAAATTGTGTAATAATAAGTCAAGTTTCTAGTACGCATATGTCAATAGGCTTCATTATTTCTCTTGTGATCGCAGCTGTGTTATTATACAGGCTTTGAAACAATCCATCAACCAAAAAAAATTTATAAAAAAAATGCAAGTACCCAAACTCACTCTTCTCCCATTCGGAAGTCGATACCTGGCATTATTCCAAGAGGAACAAATGGACATGCATAGACTGAAGGCGTTGCTTCACTTCTTACCGCTAAGGTAAGAAGTATCAACGGAAGCAACATCTAAATCTAAAGAAGCTGAAATCAAGAATTTTTTATGACCACCCACAAGAATGAGACGCGCAATCTAAATATGTAGTTGACAATGAATCGTTGGTTCCGAGAAGGAGCAAATGCTTTGCAGCAATTTTTATTCATTTTGGGATGAAAATCAAAAATTGTGCTTTATATAATTATATCTATTGTGCAACGATTTTTGAGATGATAAAACGTTGACTAGGCTTCATTAGAGGTCCATAGCATACAGTGATTAGATCTTCGGGGTACTGTCTATCGTCTCGGTCATACCTCGAGCGATTGCGAAAAATCGCTATCGTTGGCGAGTCCACAGATGGTCATCGCACAGTTTCCGTAAGTTGATGCAAGCTCTCGAACCTTGTCCTACCGAGAGTGGGCTTGCGAAGAATTTTGAACCATCGTAGCAATGTCAAATTGCCCGCGACTGAAATCGCGCGAGGTATGACCAAAGCCTCTGCGTACCGCATTCGCGCCAAACCGCTCCGAACCCGTTAGCGCCTGTTTTTTTAAGCTTGAACAGGTTACCATTGCTTTCTTTAGTAATTTCTTTGACATTTTAACAAAGTTGCTCTCTTTACAAAACATTGAACCACATCGAACAGAAAGTAACTCATACTGTCTTTTTTCCTTTTCGGACCGCTGTCGCGTGCCATCGCGCGCCATTTGGCGAAATTATAAAACGACTAATCACAGTTCGGAAACTGCTGTTATATGTAGCGTATCCATTACGAAGATAAACCCAGAAGCGTATAAGTTTAGCGGTTACGGCCGAAATTACATGCGATTAAGCGCTCTTTTTGAAGTTGACAAAAAATGACCTAGAAAGCAGTTGAAGAGAAGTTTTGCAAAAACCAGGTATAATATAGAGGTACGGCAAGAGGATGTGGTGGTGATCTATCAAGACTACAAATTTTGCTAATCCTAGTTGATTACTCGAAGGCAGTTTCACATTCCGGGGCACCTGCACTACCTATATAATTTTCGCGATAATGTATTCGAAGACGCTGATCGGTCATTCGAATGAATGCGGTATGGGTAAGAGTTTACAATAGAAAACGACTTGATCACTGATGAGTCAGTTGATCTGCTGCTTCATTGACGTAATATGATTCTCAGCCAAGCACACAAGAAACCCAGGGACCTGGATCCGTCTGGTAACTGCCAGTATAGATAAAAATGCTTGAACATATTTAAGGAGCCGGTCGAAAATTTCCTACCCAAGAAATCGATAACTGGCGACTATTTCTGCTGAAAAAAAAAACGCCTCGATCAGCTTCAACTTGTTCGTTAATTGCAAATCTGGTTTTAATTATTCACTCGTTGCGAATTTGTATTCTGTTACAACAGGGCCACTTTCTATGATAAATAATGAGCTAACTATATGAAGACATCTGATTATGAATCAGAAAAGAAAAATCAAGGATCAATACAACTGCTCTTGTTCTCGGATGAATAGTTGCGAAAAAGGGCGAGATTTCGATGGCGCAATAACGATTATAAGCGATTACCGAGAGGAGAACAGGTCTTCTCGATACCGTACGTACTCGTATCATCGTCGTCAACAACAAGCTCAAAAAGGGATCATAGTTGGTCATGATTAGAGAAAGTGGAGCTCCACAGGGGATCTGTCACTGATGGAACATGAGAGGAGAAGGGAGGAGGGGGAGGGGGAAGAAGGGTGAGTGTTTCAAAATTCAAGTGGTGAGGAAGAGATAATTGCAATAAAGACAAAGCATCTTGATATTTGTTCTACTATATAGCATAACACGTAAGAAAACTCTGAAAAATATTATTTCGAATCTCATAAATCGCAATAACTTGGCTTCTTATGGTCAACACGTGGCAAAAACGTGCTGTAACAAACATCTTTGTCCAGCTTTGAGTAAAGAAGTGTTCTTTTTCTCACGCGGAGAGCCTTCGGTATTGGTTTTCTACAATTTTTTAGCCGCTGTTATAAAAAAAAACTGATGTTGATGTTAATTGATTACAACCTCTAGATAGCCAGATCAGCACTCTGAATTTTCCCGATTGTGCTTTGATGTGCAACTACACATTTCGCTCTAGATTGCAATCCTTCATACAGCTATCAGTGATAGTCCCAGAAATTATTCTAGAAAAAGATCGCGACAAAGTTGAAATGAAGCGTGACGTGAACAACACCATCCAATAAATGTTTAAGGTTTTCAAATTTGCCGCAAGCTTATGACCACGAGGTTCGAAAAAAGACTCGTTATAGGGATCAAGAAATTTGGAAAATCAAAATTTCTATCCACCGGTTTTTTCCGGAGTTCTTTACGAACAAAATAATTTTGTAACTTGGTTATTTATCCACCTTCAAATTCGTGAATGTTTTTAGCTCTAAAACCACCGCTTTTCATACAACATTACAGATGCATTTATCACTTATCATCTAGAAAACTGTGTATGGAGTTTTCAAACATAAAGAACCTTTGTGAAAAATAACCATTCCTGCCATCTGGTTACTCCATACACAGGTCATTCATATTGCTGGTAGGTCATTTATATTGCTCTTATAAGTACCCCCAGGATCCTTAGAATACTTTTGCGAATGTCAAGAAGAATAGTTCCAAAAGAAAGTCCGCCAATAGAGGGTTCATAAGTAACTATTAGGTTGTAAGAGAATTAATGCAGGTTTTCACACCTCTTTTTCAATGCGTTGGTTCAAAACAAAACTCCATTGTCTTAGGGAACTATGCATATCTTCCGAAAGTACTCTTCTAGTTTCTTAGGCACGCTTTCGTTTCAGGAGAACTGGGTTCATTTCGAAATTACGTGCTTTTGAAATCAAGAGACTAAACCTTGAAATTTTTTCCTTTTACACTCTTTGCTCTAAATCAACCCCGAAAAATTGGAATTTTTTGCATGATTCGTGCTACAAAATGCACATTGAAGCAAATTTCTCGGAAGTTTCCAGACTGAGAAACTTTATTCTAAACCCAAGCAACCGCGGCTATCATTCTGCGGTGTATAAAAATCCTAAATGCAAAGCAATTACGGAGCTTTCGCCGTGCGCAGAAAGAATTGGCATAGGACACATAATGGCAAAAAAAAAAGAGAGCTGTTATTTTTAGGAAATTCAAAAAAAATAGCAAAAAAGCACCTCTTCGTTTTTTAAGAGCACTTGTGAAGAATGAGTGTCTACAAATTTTTTGCAATAATTTCTAGCAAACTTTTTTTTCGTGAAAACATCTTTAACGCCGCTGCACAACTGACTGTTATCTGCACAGTGAATGAAGTTTGTACCATTCTACTACATTGCCTAGTGAGTTATGTTCTTTCAAATTGAAGGTTTTTCGAGAAAACTTTTGGCAGTCTTCGGGCTATGGAGTTTTCTCACTAAAGCTACGACGATTGAGTAGTGCGTGTTAAATTGGCAAAGGTTTGCTGATTGCAGTAGTTTTTATTGGAAACGGATTGACTATTTCTGTAAAAAATTATAGCAATCCAAACTGAAAATCTGAAAAACCTGCATTAATTCTGTTACAACCTAATATGATGTTGATATTGTCAAACATATGGTAGACCAAAAGTGTATCGATGCGTCAAATACAAATACCATGAAATCGAGAGATAATGCATTGAGAATGGCATCATAGGTGTGTTCGACCGGTTACTGGCCTCGGCATAACCAGTAGAGCGCATCCACTGGTATTTACTTCACGTACATCGTTGATATCTGATTGAGGCACTACTTTTTTTTCACGAGAGATAATAAAAATCGAGCAATGGAGAAAACGATTGAAATCAGAAAAAAGTATGTAGTGGAAGGAAGTAACCCTTTTGCTTCTTGTGATTTTCATATTGCTTCTATAGATTTGTGCAACATTGATGACTGATTGATTGAGCGTGGTGTACCCTCCCCCCCAGGGGGGTCGTATTGGGGGTAAGAGGGGGGAGGGGGGAGTCGTAATCGAAAAGCGAAGTTCAAAAATTAAGGGAATACTACGATCAAGTAAGGCGAAGGAGAAAAGCCGCTGCCATGAATCTCATAAATTCACAAGAAGGCAAGGAAGTTGAAGGCAAGTTAAGGAGGTCAGGCGCAATCCCTTAAGACTCAGTTTCCCACCTTACAATTAATTATATATGGCGTAAACGTCGAAGATTCTACATTAGGTGTTTGAGCTTACCTCTACTTGATTTGGCTTTATGGTAATCAGTGGAGTTGAAGCACTAGAGGTAGAAAACGCGGTGACTAACATTTAGCAGCACTTCTTAGTCCATTATTTAAAGGCGATATGAAGTTCAGCTACCATACACTGGTAATGAGTAATACTTCGTTGCTGAGTAATACTTCGTTATGAATAACGTTAGCAAAAAGGTGATTTCTTTCACTTTTGTGACCAAGTTAATCGTGTTTGTAAACCATATTTTTTAGACGGTTGAGGAACACCAGAAAATGTAGTAGGTAATGGTTTGTAGAGCTCGTTGAGGTGATTTGTCATGCTGATTGCGGGAATACCGAATTTATACGCAAAAAGCTTCTTTGGTGACCCTACGGTATGCGTAAGGCAAGATAAAGACTTGAAATTTAGCTGAGACTTCGTTATTCGAATTAAGCAGCATGCTGTTCACGACAGTCATTCCTCTTGTGAATTTATGAGATTCATGGCAGCGGCTTTTCTCCTTCGCCTTACTTGATCGTAGTATTCCCTTAATTTTTGAACTTCGCTTTTCGATTACTACTCCCCCCTCCCCCCTCTTACCCCCAATACGACCCCCCTGGGGGGGGGGGAGGGTACCCCACGCTCAATCAATCAGTCATCAATGTTGCACAAATCTATAGAAGCAATATGAAAATCACAAGAAGCAAAAGGGTTACTTCCTTCCACTACATACTTTTTTCTGATTTCAATCGTTTTCTCCATTGCTCGGTTTTTATTATCTCTCGTGAAAAAAAGTAGTGCCTCAATCAGACTTGTAGGGGAACAAATTTTATTACTCAGACAGCAAGAAGATATAGAAAA